TGGAGGCTGCTTTTATCTATTTTTTTTTTTTTCAATTTTCCATTCTCGTAAGCTCGAAATGATTCTCGTCTGATGAAACGGACTTAATATTAAATTACCCAAGCATCGAGGAGGATGTAGGGAATGTTTTTCCATGCGCAGCACGCACACGCCTTCCCCAGATAAAAAACAAAATCGAAGTAAACAAGCAAAATAAAGAGTTGATGAACGCGCGTGCAGACGGCATTTGTTTTAGGCTTTTTCTTTAGGACGGTTACTGCTGTGATAGCCTCCTCTATACTCACGTATCCTGGCAGTTCGACCACGAAGTCATCGAGTGCCCGGTCGCAGATTTGGAGCGCGAGGATCTGGCAGCAGAGATAATTTCTCGGGGAGCCTGGACGTCAGAACACAAATTTTGCAGCGGCAAAGTCCTGAAACATTGTTTTCAAACCTTATTCTGCCATGTCAAACACGACGAGAAAACAAGCGATAGCGCGAGAAACGCGAGAATCACGAGCGGACATTGCATTGCCCGGGAGAAGTGTGTTTCGTCGTCTCGCCTCAGCGGGGCGCCCGTCACGTGGCTCTCCTCTCATTCGTTGTTTTCCGCTCTACCTATTCAATTTCAGCGGCCGCTTGTCTTGACAATCTGCCAGGCTTTGTCAGCATAGAAGATGCCATGCTGCTGCAGACGCCAGCATGTGGGGGGCGTGGAAAACCATTCCCTGCATTTTCCTTGATGCTTGGGTAATTTTGCAATAGGTATATTACAAATGTTTTGTGCTCCGAACTTTCTACTTCACTGGTGGCAGCGTCTCTATTTGGGACCCATTTGTGTAGGCTGCTAAGTACTACAGTAAATCGTGAGCGTGATACGCGAATATGGAAGAAAAGTTGTTGAATGCAAAACACGACGAATTGCTTCCTGCTAAAAGAAATATTTTTTTTAATAGGTGGACATAAAAAAAGGATGTGGAATCAATATCCAGTTGTATGAGGAGATGCTTGAGTGCGGCATTGATGAATATCGACGACTCCTCCGGGTGCCTGGGACAACATGCACAACTGCGCAAACCAGAATAAGTTAGGCGATCCCAATGACACCGTCTATTGGCGACGTGCGCGACCGAAAGCGTCGGTGTGGTCGGCCTTCCACGATTGGCCCAAAAGCTGACTGTGACGTCGGAAAGGGTATACCATCGACGGAAATAAGAGGAATGAAAGAACTTTAATTTCGACGGTGTTGGCAGTGTTGCTTTGAGAGCGCAATGATTTCAGGCTTCCACCATGCTATTTACAAACACCATCGAACTTGTTGTTCGCAAGGTAATGACGTCACAAGGGGGAACCATAGGAGGGCGCCACCAAAACATCTCGCCGCTAATATCTCGCTGAGCAACATGTGCAAAGTTGCCAGATGCGCGAACCAAATACAGCTAATTGCAAAGAGATCCTGCGCCGAGCCGGGGTGTTTATGCAGCCCGAGCTAGAGTGCCTTCATACACACGCGCGCTTTTAGCCCGAGCAAAAGCACCCCCATCCCCCAGGAATGCCTTCGTCAGCGCGGCTCAGCGGGAAAAGCGTGATGTTCTTACCGCGTGATGCGTGCTCCGTGGACAAGCAGAAGGATTCACTCCTCTTGGGAATTAGCGGCGAGATGTTTTGGTGGCGCCCTCCTAAGGTTCCCCCTTGTGACGTCATTACCTTGCAAACAACAAGTTCGATGGTGTTTGTTATTAGCAAAGTGGAAGCTTGAAATCATTGCGCTCTCAAAGGAACACTGCCAACACCGTCAAAATTAAAGTTCTTTCATTCCTCTTAATTCCGTCGATGCTAAATCCCCTTTCCGACGTCATAGTCAGTGTTCGGCCAATCGTCGAAGGCCAACCACAGCGACGCTTTCGGTCGCGCACGTCACCAATACCCTTTTAGTTCCAAGAGGTTCTTTTTACCGTGACACAATTTCGGAAAATACATGGATTTCTGGCGATCACTGCTTCGTCGTCGGGTGCACCAATGGTTTTAATTATCATGAGAACAACCGCGTAAACTGTGTGTTAAGCATATGATGGTCCAGCGCGAGTATAGTCACAATGTTAATATACTTCACGTGTTCTTCAAAAATTCTTATTCACTAAGTCAGTCAATTGCGAGCGTGATTCGCGAGGGCTCTGTATCAGACGCATCCCTATGTTTATGCTTCATTCTACGTCTATGGCAAAAGGACGGATTCCAGCCGGGGGTGGGTGCTCAATTTAGGTTATCACTGCAAGGTAGGCATAGCTTTAAGATTATATGGCGGGGTAGTTTGTATTACATATGGAAATATTACGAACTTTAACAAAGTGTGCCAGAGTTCCGCGTACCACGATACTGGGGCCTCTTGAAAATTCTTTTAAGCGCGCGCTTAAAAGCATGTCTTAAAGGCTTCAGTGCTGTCGTACGCGGAACACGGTTACGTATCGCAATAATACTACATTAAAGAGCAAACAAGATATCATTCCTTTTTTTTTTTTTTTGAAATATTTCATGAATTTTTGTTTAGTTTTGGCATTGCGTTGCTGAAAACAAAGTACCGAAAGCAATTTCCCTTTTAATGATGCCTATGGGATTTACGTAAAGTATTTTATTGTAAAGCCTTTTATTATGATTCCGCGCAGTGACTTGAAAGCATCAGAGTAGGCGGAGGAAAGCGAGAATGGAACCGAAATTGACGATGATAAAATGAACCCACCAACACCGGAGGATCGCAGGAAGTCTATGAGAGGTGTGTCGACAAGCGTTTGTTCACTTCAAATGGTGGTGGCTTGTTTTGTCCACTCTGAGTGAAAGACCGGGAGTATGTCGCCGTAGAATTCGCGCATGGCGGTCTCACGCTCAGAGGGAGGTCTCGCGCAGTCCCACACAAAATCGGAGCAGATGGCAGTAACGTCATCTGCTCCCCTTCGCATTTCGGATCAGGCCCGACGTCATCCGGTTCTGTCGGATGGTGGATTTTTGACAGGTAGACTGACGTCAGCACCGTCCTCGTTTGAGTCCGTTAAGAGCCGCCACACGCTTCCATCACGGATAGAGGCTCGGAATACGGTAAGGGTTGGGCGGTAGGAGAGAAGTGAGGCTCACCTTGCGTGCTGTTCGCTCTCTGCGTTTGACCTCAGAGAGGTCCGATTCGGGAATGTCCTCAGGCACCTTCCGAGCGCCGAGTGAAGGAACCGGACTTTGCGAGGGCTGCTTCGCTTGTATGTGTGCACTCGCTGCAAAATTCGCGCTCTCGTTCCCCGGGAAGGCTTTGTGGCTCGCAGCCGCTTTACAGTGAATGATTGGTCGTCCTTCGTCTGGCGCAACAATATTCGGATATTTTGCAACCGTGGCGTTACATATGTCCGTGCGACACAAATGGCGGAGCGCCTCTTGGGAATCTCTGTATCTGAGTGTCTTTTTGATGTTGGTTATCTTCACAACAGTTGCCTGCGTCGCCATCAAGAACGCCAGCAGTTCTGCGGAGGACGTAATCTTTGTGTTTTTGGTGATCTCATCCTGCGTGTTTTGCCTTGTACGGAAGTACCAGCCAATGGCCGTGCGGCAGGTCTCAAAGCTCGACGCTTTTCTGCAAAACACTTCGACGTGCCCTTTGAGTAGTGCTGCAAAAATATCGATAGTACAATGGATATTATCGATGGTCACCAGAAATTTGACTGTCGATAGTACTATCGATAGTAGACTCTCGAAATATTATCGATAATGCTATCGATTGGCGAGTATCGAAAGACTATGATAGTGCTATCGATAGTCAACTATCAAAAATCTATCGACAATCGATAGATTGTCGATAGATTTTCGAACGGAAAATTATCGACAGTCTACTATCGGAAAACTATCAATAGTTCACTATCGTAAACCTATCGATAGTACTGTCGACGGTTTACTATTGATAGTTTTGCGACACTAGTAGTTTGTGTCGCCCCCTCTTTTCTGTTTCTCGCTTTATTTTTTTCAAATAGAATAGCCAACTCGCCCAAACACTTACCATCCAAACTTTGGTTCAGCTTTCAGTGATTACGAAGACGGGAGTTTGGGCGAAGAGAGGAGGAAGGGGAGGCGAACGGCGGTTCGGTAACTGTGTTCTCTCTAAAAATGCCAAACTATCGATAGTACTATCGATAGTCGATTATCGAAAAACTGTCATTGTACTGTCGATAGTATTATAGATAGTCTACTATCGATAGTCCTGGGACACTATCGATAGTTCTCGAAAAACTATCGATAGTATCCATAATCAATTTATCGATAGTTTTCCATCGCTGTCCCCGAGATCTCCGACTTCTGCCATGTAGATGGCGGCCTGGGTGATTTGTCGTGCCGGCGCTCCATCCCCCTGGGTTTTTAGAACCGGTGTGGTGGTGGCGACCGCCTCCGTTTCCCATGGGGACGGAGGTGTCGGCATAAGTGAGCCTCCAATGAGGTGGGCGAGCTTACACTCAATGTCAGGATAGTTCTGCCTTCGGGGGTACGTGAAAAAAAAAAAAAAAAAAAGCAGGGCTTGGTTGATACGTTTTTTTTTTTTTTTTTACTTCGATTTCTTTAATGGTACTTATCTGCGCGGTACGCTCGAGCTCTACCACCCGCGTGAAACGCAGGAGACACGTGACACTGCTCATTGCGGCCCTATTCATTGTGACGAGGGTGGTCACCGGTGTCTAAGTAACATTTTTGAAAGTTCAGTCTATAAATCACCTTTGATGCTAAAAGCGTTTGGACGAGGTTGTGTAACTAGTCTTCTTGAGCCCCCCGAGCTTTGTTGGTAATTGCTTTGAGAAGGGTCAGACCGGATTTTTACGGCTCTTTTACATGCATCATTCATGTGATGGCCCTTCCCCCCGGTGGTAGAAGAGGATACCCAGTATTTTCACACTCTCTGTCGTTTTGAGGGGGGTGCCTTCCACGTGAAGCTGAATGTCCCTTCGCGAACTTTTGCGCTTTGTAGAATAACCATATACATGGTGTTTTCCTAGAAAGACCTGTATTTTGTGCGAGAGTGGTGACGATGTCAAGGGCACGTTGCATAAGGCGTTGCTGGTTGAATGCCAGTCCCGCTGTTGTCCAGAGGGTGACGGCATTCACATCCATGGTATAAACAAATACTTTACTAGGGGGAACACATTCCACTCCTCTCAAATACAATAGCTTCGGCGCGGACAGGTTTTCTGGGCTTGGCGAGAGCCATCTATCGTCGTGGAGGTCTCGGCTACCGGGCGGTAAATATAGACGCTTTGCACACGCGCCAAATTACAGCCGCCATTAGTGACCTTCTCTTGTCTTACCGAGATCCCGAGCAACTGAAACGGTACTTGACGGTCCTTTACAAAGGCCGATGCTTTAGAAAAGGACACAGTTGAATCTAATGTGGCAATAACCTGGCCTTCTATGGTAATGATGAAGTGAAATAAACGGAATACGAGGAAACAAAAACTGAAGGTCAGTTATGGCGGCGTCCATGCACAGCTGCTGCAAAGCGTCTATACTTCGTTTCACCTTATGTGCGAGCGAAGGCAAAGCTTGAAGCGCGAGCACGAAAGCTCCGTGCGTTCAGGCTTTGCTCGAGCGGGCGAGCTGGGCAGGAACGCAAAAAGCGCTGCTCTCGCGCTTTTAGCTTTGCCTTCGCTCGCAGATAAGGTGAACCGAAGTATAGCTCAGTGCTGCGCCAAATACTTTGCTGCGCTGTGCCGCCGTAACCTTCCCAAGGGTTGCACGTTGCACGTGCCTCGTGCATCGACGCACCTCGCGGAGACGACACCGCCGCGGCCGCCGCGAACATCCACGTGCACATGCGCGTGGACTGACGCGGACCTCCACACCGTCAGCGGCGCTGTAGGCGTTCTGTCTAATGCAAATGAGCAGAGTGGAATGTGTTCCCCCTAGTAAAGTATTTGGTATAAAGCCCATGTGGAACGGCCTCGAGGGCTAGGGCAATATCGGTCAGAGCGAGGCTGCACAGTAGTGGCGACAGTACAGCGCATTGAACTACGCCGAAGCAGTTGGCATTTCAGGTTCTTTTGTATTTCAGATTGCTGCATGGTATGTGCGATCTTCAGGAATGGTATTGATAAAATTCAGGGGTCGGCCCTGTATGCCTGGTTGATGCTTTTAAGCACCAGCGACCGCTGTGGAGTGCAGGATAGTGTCGAAGGCTTTTCGCGAGTCAATGGTGAGGTGTGCCCGAGGCTGAAAGTTGAAGAGGTGACGTTGATAGAGGTCGTCGTGTATCACTAGCAGGCTGTCTTGTGCTGACATAAGAATAGGGCATCACGTCTGCATGTGATGAAGGACCTCCGTTGTCTCGAGGATCCATTCCAGGCGTGCAGTGACCATGCGCTTAAGATAACTTGCTTAAATAGATACTTTTCAAAATTCAGTGCCATCTGGTGGCTCAAACAGGAGTTTACATTTTTGCCGTACTACAAGCAGAAATTAAACTGTAATTTATAGTATTTTCACGTGCACAATCACTTTCGCTACTCAATAGAAGTCGAGAATGTCTGTTTTTATGTTACAATTCTTTGTGGATCTCTCAGTTTTGATGGTATTTCGTATACGAGTGGTAAGAACGGAGCACAAACCCAGATTGACGCCATGATTAAGTTTTACTAATCAAGAGATTTTAGAGCCGATTATGTGCCACCAACAGACTGAATGACTCGAGTTAGAAATCAGCGCTTAGGCAGCTCTTGTATTAAATTCCTGCGTCGCATCGTACTAAGGTTTCGGGTGTATAGTCTACGCATCATCCGCTTCAGAATATCTTTAACGACATCATTAATTCGTAACTACAAGGTCGCCATTAGCTCGACGCATAATTCATTCCTCAGATGATGATAATGAGCAAAGTGACCAGAGTAAATTTTGGAAATGCTCTTTGGGGGTGTAGGATAAGGTCGCAGATTTTCTATTGCTTGTTGAGTCTTGTCAGGCTTCGGGATGGGCATCACTGCGGACGGTTTATATACTCCGCCGATATTGCGGCTTGCATCTAGACCAGATTGAATCTGTCGAGGAGTTCCTCCATAGCTTCTATGCGAAGGTTCCAGAGCGCCGTTTTTGGTGACTTATTCTGGGCCAGGTACCGCATTCGCTTTCGTCAAGCTGAGGGCGTCCATGAGCTCCGCTATAGTGAATGGTGCGTCCCCGGGTTGACGTGGTTCCGTGTGTTAAAAAAAACAGTTCCCCTGCTAGTTCTGCAAGCTGTTCCTCGGTTATATTGAGACGCACACTCTAAGAAAAAAAAGGTAGCAACAGCGACTGTTCCTCCTTGTTGCCGACAGGTTGCTCAGAAAAGGGAGGAACGGCAGTTCAGACGAAAAGAGGAGGGCAGGTTCCTCCTTGTTCAGTTGGCGCAGGAGAAAGAAGAAGACGCCGCTTCGAACCGCGACGTTTTCCATGTTCTCCGGGAAAAATTTATCGGCCGCTGGCCGAGGAAACGCTATGACGTCTGATAACGTTACAGAAGACTACCGGATAATCCTGCCACGTCTGACATCAGGTAACCTGAGCCTGAATTCCGTTTTCTTGCATGGGGACCTCTCGGCGCGCCCGTATCGAGCTCCTGATTTTCGAGACGCCCTACGTGGCATCGTCGAATTGAAGGACGTTGTGAGCCTCGGATAGTTCCAGATGTCTCACGTCTGGATGCTGACGTGTGTCAACGCTGTTACCAAGGCAGAGCTCGTCGCTCAACGAGAGCTTCGCGTGAAAGGCCGAAAGTGCCTCATCATTGACCCGGACAAGCAAAAAGTAAACCTAAAGCTTCTTTGGCTTCCACAGCATCTAGAGGATCGACGAGTTATCGAAGCTCTCGCCCCGTTTGGCAAAGTGCGATCGATCAAGAGAGAGAAATGGAGGTGCAGCGAGCTTGAGCACATGGAGACTCTAAATCGAGAGGTAGTACTGGTATTAGGGGATGGTGTCAATGCCAGTCAGATACCACATCTCCTTCAAGTCTACGGATGCCAGAGCCCTGTCCTTATTCCTGGCCGACCTCCGCTGTGCTTGCGCTGCAAAAAAGTGGGACATATTCGACGCTACTGTAGAACACCGAGGTGCTCCAACTGCCGGCGGTATGGTCACCTAACTGAGGAGTGTGTCAACGGCGCCACCTATGCTGATATGTTACGACAACGTCAAACACACGAAGTTGACACAGCGGCGGAGCTCCTAATGGACGTCAGTGAGGTAGCTGACGTCAGCGGGGAATTGCCACCCGTCGAATCGGCCCATTCTTGAGAAGACCCACGGCCCGGGGACGGTACAGACACCCAGCCATCACAGAACATCGACAAGAATGAAGAATTTCCAGTGTTGGAACCTGCAGCATCCCCAAACACCAGCACCACACAGAATGCGCACATGGAACCAGATGCGACTCCCACACCGACTGTCTCCAAGGCTCCGACTGCACCTCAGCACTCAGTTAGCGAGGACGGCCCTTCCCCGAGCAGCAGTCAACCACTCAAGCGACCGGCACCGGTTCACACAGAGGCACCTTCGTGTTCAAGCGGGTCCTCAACACTACTCAACCATGTTGGCGACAGAGACGTCGCCAAAAAGAAGGCATCGGGGTCCCGTGCCAAGCCGAACGCGAAGCCAGGAGCTACCTAAAGTGTGGCGAGTGACGTTCAACGCTGAAATGCGGCCTCTATGAGGACGGATAGAAGCTAAGAATATTCCCCTAAATTTCACAACACTAAACGTCCGAGGTCTAAGATCTCGTGCGAGGCAGGTGCAACTTTGTCGGCTCTTGCAACGTGAGCAGCTGGACATTTTTGCGATTCAGGAGACAAAGATAAAGTCGGAGGAGGCCACAACAACTGCACTCCGGCCTTTTCTACACAAGTATGAAGTTTGTGTGAGTCACGCTGTGGGGCTATCGGCTGGTTGTTTCTTGTTTCTCCGCAAAGACTTGAACTACACCTCGCACTCGTACACGGTTGACACTGAAGGTCGTTTTATCTGTTGTGACATTTACTTAGAGGGAATTCACTGGCGGCTGATTTGCGTTTATGCCTATAATGACTCTTCTAGTCGACTTTCATTTTTCCAAAATTTAGATGCTTTTCTTGACACCGACAAATCTATTGTTCTGTTTGGCGACTTTAACTGTGTATGCGAAGCCCACGACCGCTCGACGATCAATCTGAGACGCGACAACAGCAGGATCGCTCTCGAGAATCTTGTGCGCCAACACTGCCTAAGCGACGTCGGTGCCTCTCGAACGTTCATCAATCGCTTCACGCACCTGCAGAGTTCTGCCCACGCACGCCTTGATAGAATATACGTGTCTAGTTGTCTTTTGGAACACACGTTTGAATATTTGGTAACGCCGGTATCCTTCTCTGACCATTGTGTTGTAACTGTCAAGCTAGGCGAGAAACGCAAACAAATGTCTAGACCAAAATGGGCGCTGTGGAAGTTAAACAGCAATATTCTTAAAAACAATGACTTTAATGAAAGACTAATTACCTGTTTTATGGCTATTCGTAGTAATACTGATCTTTCCATTTTCGCACAGTGGGATAGTTTTAAGCAAGAAGCTAAAAACATAGAAATTGAGTGTGCGTGTATTCAGGCATATCATGAGAAAGCTGACAGGCGTGCACTTACACATAGCCTTCACGAACTGTATCAGCTGGAATGCGAAAAACCAGGTAGTTTTCATGAGGAAATTTGCTTTCTCAAATCTCAGCTCCAACGCCACAAGCTTCAGCGTTACCGACGAGCGGCCGTGCGATCAAGATGGCAACGCCTTGTATCGGCCGAACAACCTACTAAAAAGACTTTAGATGACGAGCGCAGACACGCCTTAGCTAAAGAAATTCCGGTGTTGCTATGTAACGGCGCTTACTCAAGAAATACCGACAACATTATGACCATATTCACACAACACTATGAAAACCTATTTGGTCAGGTCTCCCCCTCATCAAATGAAGAGTATACGCCTCTCGTTTCACTGCTGCCCAGCTTGAGTGACGAGGACTCCGAACTATTTACTAGACCGTTTTTTCTCAAAGAGATATGCCAGGCCGTGGGGTCCCTTCCTAGCTCGAAGGCACCTGGATTAGATGGCCTCTCAGCAG